GATTTTTAAAATGTTCTGGGGGAAAAAATAAAGTAATACCTAAACCACTCCTTGTTACAGGAATTGTTGCTTATTTCATGTTGATTCCATTTAACTTTTGTTGACAGCATCATGCTGTAGTCAGAGAATAAATATGATACAGGCTGTACCCATGAGTAGCCTCTCCAGTAGTGAAATACAGGTGCACAGACTCTGTCCATGACTCCCACTCTGGAGGGAAGGTTGTAGCTGTCTAAGCTGTGGATGACTGAGAATTAGACTTACTGAATCCATCTTAGTTGACAAATTTCAATAATCACTTGCCACACTAAGATTTTAGTTCTTAATATTTAGTTAAACAATTTTCCACCTAGTTTATATAAGTTCAGACTGAATGAACCTGAGAAATCATCTCATATTGTTTCTCTACAGCCCCCTCCCCTCAACCCATCAAACATAAAAATTATTTCCTAACTTCCCCCATCCTCCAGGCCATCAACAGAAAACCAGTCTTCCTGTGACCAAATGGGAATTTACTGCCTTCCCGGGAAGCCTTTTCTGACTTCTGAAATCTTCAGGTATTAAGAGGTTTTTGTTTTAATTTACTGAAATCCGTCTCCTGTTATCCCTTAGTGTGAGTTGGGGCTTCTTTTGTCATAAAGAATTGTCCAATTGCTCTCTACTGAAGGGCAGCTCTTCAGGTATTTAAAGAGCTCACGTTCCCCCAGGTGCCCTGGGAACTCTTGTTCCTGTCAGTTCTAGGTTCTTCACCATCTGAATCTCTCTATAGGTGCCCATTTGATGGTCTTAAAGTTGTGGTGTCTAGGCCTGGATGATCCAGAGTAGTATCAATGATTTCCTTATTCTATTCACTAAAAAAAAGGCCTTTTCATGGATTTTGCACTGTCATCTCACACTGAATTTGAATTTAACAAGGCCTTTCTTTTCTGCATGTGCCATTTTATTCCCATCTCCCTGAAGGCTGGTATATATATATTTTTAAAGCCTCATTACTTATATTTACAGGCCTCACTAAAATTTGCATCTCACTGGATTTAGTTCTAGATTGTAGAATCTTGTTTCTTACCCAGAATATTTTGTGTCCCATCAAACTTCAGACCATCAGAATGGAGACATGTACTGTCTGCCTGACTGCTCATCTAAGTGGTGGCAGATACCCATCGTGCACAAGGCCTGCCCGATAACACATTCATGAAGAGCCTCCAGGATTCCGGCAGCTACACTTCCACCTCACATGCTATTGTCACCTCATGTTTTTACATTGTGTCCACAGATAGGCTTTTTCCCAATGAGTCAACATTTATTCCAGACAAACATTAAACATGCAATTTCTTTTACTTAATTTAATATTGTCAGCAGCCAGACTGAAATCATTTAATAAAGCTTGCTGCTCCGATTTCCTGTGTCACCCTATCAGAAAAACAAATGAGGTCTTGCTGCCATCGCATTTACTTTTGTGGGTGTTTACCCTCATGGGGCATTTCTCTTTCAATACACTCATAAACCCATTTTCTGCATATTTCTAAAATACATTATTTCAGAGAGGATAGGAGAGGGAGAAAGAGATGGAAACATCAATGATGTGAGAGAATCACTGATTGGCTGCCTCCTACATGCCCCCGACTCGGGGCTGGGCCTGAAACCCGAGCATGTGCCCTTGACCGGAGCCAAACTAGGAAGGGATCGTTCAGTCTATGGGCCGATGCGGTATCCACTGAGCAAAACCAGCTAGGGCCTGTCATATCCTTTGTACTTTGTATTTCATTGTGCTAAACTGAGAAGATACTCTTTAAAAATGACTGAAACTTGTCACTGTAAATCTGTGAAGTAACTTGGGGGAAGGTATAGTTCTAAAGGCTAAGAACACAGTACAAAGAGTCCCATTCTGGAGATGTTGTGTATGCTCGTTTTCTCTACCAACTACAAGTCACTTTCCTTATTGGGACCTAATTTCTTCTTTTGTAAAATGAACATCTCTGAGGTCCCTTCTCAGTCTCGGTGATTCTATGTATTTTTGCTAAAAACTACCCTAGAATTGATCATTGCATTAATAATTTATTTTTTAATTTACCCCTTATTAGCCAGACATTGAGTAGGCACTGAACCCTACACAAGAGGTAATGACTATTTTCGCAACAACCCTGTTTAATGAGTGTATCATCCCCTTTTTACTGGTGAAATACCAGGTTTGGCAAGCTTGAGTTACATCCACTGTAGGCAGCTGGTAATGGCATTGCTAAGATATGGAGCCAGGTCTGACAGAACCCCATGCCTCTTTGCTTTGCTTTGCTACACTGCCTGTGCTAAGTAGTCAGTCTACAGAGAATTTCTTTTTTCACCTGAAGACATTTTCATTGATTTTTAGAGAAGGAGGGGAGGGAGGGAGGAAGGGAGGGAGGGAGGGAGGGGGGGAGGGAGGGAGGGAGGGAGGGAGGGAGGGAGAGAGGAGAGAGAGAGAGAGAGAGAGAGAGAGAGAGAGAGAGAGAGAGAGAGAGAGAGAGAGAGAACAATGCTGATCAGCTGCTTGTGCATCCTGACCAGGGATTGGACCCATGATCTTTTGGTGTATGGGACAAGGCTCCAACTGAGCCACATCAGCCAGGGCTAGAATTTCTGCTGTTTAAAGTAGTCTATTAGTCACTGCCCTCTACAGAAGGGAACCAGTAATGAAACAGTCTCCTCCTGACTATGGAAACCTCAGAAATATCAGAAGCCTTCTGTCTCAGATGCTGTCTTTCTCTGGAAATGTTTAATCCATTGATGCCTTTATGAAACTCATAAAAGGAAGGGCTGCATTTGATGGACTTAATAACTTTGCATTTTTATAACTTTAATATTATATTCCTTTGAGCTGCACTTAAAAGTGTAAGAATAACCTATTACTATAAGAAATACATCTTCTTATAGAGAGACTGGAAATTGAAAGAACTGTTTAAGATTAAAGAAATGTTCTATTATAACATAAAGCCTATCTAGATTTTTAAAAAAATCACAGCTCCTTAACATTGCTAACTTAATTAAGTTGCTGTTGAAGGAATTGGACTATATTAGGGTACTCAAAAAGTTGCATATGTTTTATAGCTAAAATGGAAATATAAGTTTAGAATCTGGTGATTACAGTAATGGTAATTCTATGGTTAGACAAACAAGAAGCCAGAGTTACTGAAACTAAGGGTGTACATAGCACAGTAAGTGAATACAAAAAATCCCAACTATCACTTTAATTCCACTGGAAGATCAACAAAGGATAAAAGGCAGTAAATGGTGGATAGTGAGCTGCAAGTCACACCATTGCTAGGATACTACTTTTTGTGACAGAAAATAACTTCAGGAAAGCAGCACAATCACCCATAGTTATTAAGAAAGAGACAAAGGAACCTAAGATGAAAATTGTAATAGAAAATGCTGAGGTTCACCTGAAATAAAAAGCTTTTCTTTGGTCATATGCTTTTAAAATTGGGTGGTAGCCACACTCTGCTTACCTGGACAGACCTCCAGCACTGCTCACCTCAGACTCCAGTGTGGAAATGAGCCCAAGCAAGGATTATAGATAGGGAAGATGGGTCAGAAAGTTACTCCCCTAAAGTTTCCCATCCAAGCCATTTACCTTCCTCATCTCACATTTCTTAGTAAGCTTATTTATTTGTGCATCTGGAAACAAATTACTCTAACCTCAGGTCAAACCTATCACTGACAATTCTATATGGATTCTACCTGAGGTGCCCTTCTCAGGTCTGAGGCCATATCTATATGTTCCTATTCCACCCCTCTGGGAGGGAAGGTCATCTCCTATGATTACAGCTGTCTCATTGCCCAATGACCCACCTCCATCTCACACAGTTTTCCCGTTTCCTGGTTGTCCATGAATGCGTTAGGGTTAGCCACTATACACCTGACCTTTAAAAATGGCATTAGTATGAACATTCATGCCACAGCTAGGGCCAAATTCAATGAGAGGCTGTCATGAGTAATATGTCTTATTACTGATCAAAGGAGTCTGCTTGGTTGCTCTGCATACAAAGATCAAGTTCTTGTTCAAGTCTGAGAAAATAAAAATAATTACTTGTGTTATATTCTGAAGATGAGGAGATGGGGAGTTTGCCCAATATTATAAAATACTGCATTTAATATTTGCTCTCTTTAAAATATGCTAGGCAGATATTATGAAGGAACCTTAACGGAGTAAAGCTTTAGAAATACAGGGAAATCTTTTTTGTGTGTGAAGAAACAGTGCTCTAAGTCCCTATGTCCTAGGAGCACAGAACAAAGCTTTTCATCAGAGTTTTAGGAATGAAAGCCTTCATTCAAATGGCAAAATATGGAGTCATTGTAAAGTCATTTGCCTGCTAGTATCAATAAGCTGAGCTGAGTACTTTAAAGGTGAGTTTAAAAAAGCATATCCTGAAAAATAAAGGAAAATAAGAGCCTTGGGACTTAGGAACGCCCTCACGATCCCAGTCTCCTACAGGAGGCGTGGCTCATGAGTCTTTGCTGTCACTAGGTAGCAATCTATCAATCCCGGTGGGTGCCTCTCTGGAGAACCACAGTAAGAAAGGGGACAAATGCCATGATTGACCTTTATTCCTTTACTCATTGGTAGGAGCAGCCAGGATTTCCTGATGCATTACTCACCAGGAAATCCCAACTGCCCAGCGGCAAGGGGTTAAAAACTGTTCTCAAAAGCTTTTTATGTTCTGAAAAGCTAAATTACACATAGATGCAAACCACAAACACACAGCACCTGGGTAAATAAAGTGTGGCAGAATAAAGGCCTGGCTATTTGCACAGGGGAATCTGGAAAACATTTACTTTTGGGTGGTTAGTGTTACTTACACTTTATGCTTTTTTTTTTTTTTCCTTAAGAAAAAAAAAGTAGATTTTGTGCAAAATAAAATCAGAATTTTTAACATGTCTGTTGAAAAATAAGATTTCAGTTCATTTACTTTCCAGATCTTAAGGGGCTATGAAGCTTGAGAGGGGCACAGAGCTACTGCACAAAAAAAAGCAATGTATTTAATACAAATATTGTTAAAGAAAAATCTCTATATAACCACACAATGGAATGCACTGAAGAGATCATTAAACACTGTCCTCCAAATATGGGGTAAAACATAAATGGTGAATGGCGTCAACATTAAAAATGCTGTGAACTCAAGACCATTGTATTTCAGAATAAGCCAACATTTTCTGATAGATCTAACAGAATATGAACACCCAGGAGGTCATGTCACAGAGGATTTATGCTGAGCATACTTCTGAGTATCTAAGTGGCTACGTGATTTCTCCTTGAAGGAAAAAAATCATCTCATTGTGGCAGGGGGCTCACTAATTTTCAGTAGAAAACTATTAGCTTGAATCATAAGAAATTGCTAGTAGGTCAAAAACTTTGAAAATCATAAATTTCATATAATTCAACCCAATACGTCCCCCCCTTAAGCCAAGTCAAGTTGATATTGACTGATTTGTGGAGAGAAAAGGGGTGAGAAAATTACTAAGTAGAATTAGTGAAGTTTTTATTGGGAGGGTTCTGGGTGTGAAACTAGCATTGTGAAACTGTCAGATACCATTACAGAATTGATATTTCATTGTGATGAAGGAAGGAGAGAAGCTTGATGAGGTCATGGGAATAATGTAGATTTTTGCTTACCTCAGAGGATACAACATGTAAACAAATCTAGCATTAACACATCCTTAACAGGAAACAAAAAAGTAGTGATTAGAACTTAGTGTTTAGGGTACCTCTACCATGAGCTACTGTGAGGGATAAACAACAGCAGTTAGGAAAAACAGTAATGGTATATCTATCTTGTTCATAAATTCAAATAACAAATGGAAGAAAACCATTCTTTACAACATAGCACCATAAGGCTATTAAGAGCACCAGACTTCCCACCAAGTCATGCACATCTAAAAGAAACACAACCTAAATAATTTTGGTTACACAGAATTAACCAAATATTTTGGTTATTTAAAAACCCTGGCAAAACATCCTAAAGTCTATGTAAATGCATGCATTACTTATTAATTATGAGAGCTAATGGTGGAGGTGAGAGCACATAATCCCCAATGTTTTATGTATTGAATTAATTTCAGAGGAGGAGAGGGAGATAGAAACATCAATGATGAGAGAGAATCACTGATTGTCTGCATCCTGCATGCCCCCTACTGGGTTTGAGCCAGAAACCCAGGCATGTGCCCTGACCAAGAATCAAACCCTGACCTCCTGATTCATGGGTCAATGCTCAACCACTGAGACAAAGCAGCGGGCCCTAACGTTATTTAAAGGCTACAAATTCTATATAGTAATCAATGAATCATAGGCTTGATAGTGCTAAGTTCTTGGATAATGTAATCCTTGTGCAGGGGACTCGCAAAATACAAAAAAGTACAAATAATAACAAAGAAAAGGGAACATAGGCATTACAAGTTCTAATTCATAGTATCCCCACTCCATTTTGAATTTTTCATAGATGTTCATAATTCTTATAATTTGGTGAAGATTTTAAAAACATAGTAATCAAATTATTTTTATTATGACTATAAATTATACAAAGTTCAACATGTAACAGAGTAAAGATACCAATGGCTAAATACAAATAAAATAGTACAAAATATAGATATATAAACCAATTATGATACAAGCCATTATCAGACATGACTACATATTCCATCCTATAATCTCATAAATCAAAGCTTTTAACTGTCTGGATTCATATGTGACCGTATTCTTTCCAATATGCATTCTTTCTTCTTCCAGGGGCTGTTCAATAACGGCAGGCACGTTCCTGCCATAAACTTCACAGTGTTCTAGAAATTGGACACATTCTTGAATAACATTGTCACGAAGCATGATCGTGTGTTTTGACATGTTTTCTAATAAGGACAAGAAGCATCTTTTGGCATAGTACCAGGTGTCAGTTCCCAGTTTTTTATTGTAAGGCTCCAAGCTTTTGATAACTCGGGAAATCCCAAAGTCATAATTTCCCTTGGCACAGTAAAGTGTGCCTATCACCAAGTTCACAATGCAGAGATGGTAGGTTTTCTTATCTGGGTCATCATAGGAGAGCTGCTCTTCCTCCTTTTCAATCTTCCTCATCAACTCCTCAGCTTCTTCATTTTGACTTGTCATAATATATGAAACACAGAGGTTAGCCAACACAATAGCACTGACATCCAGGATGTTGTTATAATGCTTCTTGACGATGGGCTCATAAAAACCAATGGCTTCTTTGTATTTGTTTTCCTGCATAAACAGAACATGAGCCACGTTCAGCTTCCACACATCATGGTCATTGCAGAATTCCACAGATTTGCGGAAGATCTTTTCTACCATTGAATAGTTTTCAAGGTTCCAGTAGATTTTTGCCTGGGCCATCAATACGGGAATATATTTCTCCAGGATGTCATCGTATTCATTCACTGCCTTTTTGACAGCGTCGTCATCTCTCATGTGTCTTGCTTCCTGCACTTGTATGGTGAGTTTCCGTAGTTGCTCAGTCAGCATCCCAGCTAGCCCATCAAGCTTAACGAAAGCCTCTTCAGGAGCTGTCTGGCAAGTAATCATGGCATCTAAGAAATCATAGAGATAAGGTGTGAGGAACTTATAAGTCAAGTGGGCATTCTCTGCCAGGACATCTGCTGCTAGGTCAAAATACTCGTATTTGCAGTAGAGCAGCAACAGGTTGCCAAAGGTCTCTGGGGGAAAGGGGTTCTGCTGGAGCAGAAACTGTAGCTTTTCAAACCCTTCTGTAGGCCTGGCATCCATATTCATCAGCGCCTGGTTGTGCAGGGTTACAGGGTCTAACTCTTCCTCAGCCCTAGGTGGCATGTCAGTAAGGGCTTCCTGGGCGGCATCATAGTTTTTCAGTTGGTATTCTATGGCTGCCTTTAAGTTGAAGGCTTCCACCAGTGCAGTCTGGTGAAGAACTAAAGTGTTTCCAACGCTGTGAACATCAATACCCTCCGTGGTCATGCCCACACCCAGCTCTGGGTGCTGGCGGATGCCATGCTCAATGATGTCTGCAATATGCTTCAGCGCCGGGGCATACTGTCGGCTGCTATAATAGGCCAAAGCCAGATTGTAGGAAAGGTCAGGCTGGTAGCCCGAGGCCTGCAGGGCGGTAAAGAACTTGGAACATGCAGCTTGATACTGTCCCTCCTTGTAGAGCAAACAACCCAGGTTGACCTGGCTATCTGACTCGTTCTCACCAGCACTGTCCTCACCCCCTTCCCCACTCAGCAGCTGCTCCACCAGGCTCCTGGCCCCGGGGAGGTCGCCCTCGCTGTACTTGATGGCGGCTTGCAGACGGAGGACCCGGCTGTGGTAGGCGGGGTTGTCCAGGAGGAGGAAGGCGACCCGGGTGGCCTCGGGGTACAGGCAGGCCTTGTACAGGGCCTGGGCCTGGTACAGGCGGTACTGCTCCTGCTCGGGGTGCAGCTGGCTCAGCTGCTCATAGCAGTCGGCCGCCAAGGGGAACTCCTGTAGGCGGTAGTAGCAGTAGCCCAGCAGCGACAGGCCGGCGCGGCTCCGCGGGCTCCGCTGCAGCTCGCGGCCCAGCAGCTGCACCGCCTCGGCGTAGCGGGAGTCCCGGATGAGCCGGTACACGGCCGCGGTGAACTCCCCGTCGGGGATCGGCGTACCTCCCAGCCCCGCCATAACCGCCGACATCCTTGTGCGTCCCTGTTACCAAGGCAACAAGCCAACCGGAAACGGAAAACCGCAAAGAATGTGTGTTATTGTTGTTTTGGTTTTTTTCTTAACACGTTCCCAAAGTTACTTTTAGCGGAAGGGTCACACTAGGAAGAAGTCACTGACGTGAGGGTGTCCATACCTGATCTCGCCCCGGATGAGTCCAGGAACGTGAGCATCATTAGTTTGCGACGGGAGAGGAATCGGCTCTAAGCAATTCAGAGACAAAACTCCACCTCCCGGCATGCACCGGCCCAATGGCGCTTTCGCGGGAACGTGCTCGCGCTGCATCCTGGGAGGCGTAGTCTCTGAGCGGTCGGGAGAGGAGGCGTGGCTCACCTGTGCTGTTGCAGGTGAGGGTTGCTGCCTACCTGTTGCGTCTCTAGGGCCTCTGGCTTGGAGCAGGGAGGTTTAGGTTCTGAAGTCCCTTGGGGTTTGGAGCATTATACGCGGTGTACAAAGTATGGTGTGGCTCCCATCATCTTAGGGAAAGAAACAGAAATGGAAAAGGTGGAAGGTCAACTTCGTTTCTCCCCGAATTAGAATCGGTTCTGTTCTGTTCTCGGGCCGCCCTGAGGGTACGCGTTCTAAGAACAGAATAGTGCAGCGACTAGGAGTCCTTATTTTGAAGTTTCCAGAGATAAGCAACAGGAAAGGGTGCTTTGGATGGTACCTGGTACTGGGAGAGCATTGACTTTTCCGTAAGAACGGATATTAGTGAGCACTTATTAGAGTTTAACCTGGTCTTACAAAGACCTCGGTGTTTTTTTTTTGTGTGTGTGTGTTTTTTTTGTTTTGTTTTTTACAAAAATTAAAAACAACAATAACACCCACAAACAGCAAGTGTTCCATTTCCTATGGGCTCTTACTCTTCTAACTCTCTAGACCTACTTAATTTGCCAATCCATGGTGTGTGTGTGTGTGTGAGACAGGGAGAGAGAGAGACATACACGACCTGTACTTGTCAGGCTTTAATGTTTTTGGATATCACTGAGATGATAAAAATTGGATTTTTCTTTCAGTTTATTTATTTTTTTAATTGTCTACACTTTAATCCCCCCCCCCTCAGATTCTTAGTTTGAAGATTTCTGTGGAGATTTGTTAGACTACAAGAAACCATTCTGGATTTTATTTTTTCCCTTCGTCATGTATTATATTTGGAATAGATTCTCTGGATTCCATGTTACTACCTCAGGGCTATTTTTATATAAATTCTTTTGAATTTAATAGCGCCTGTCATGGGACAGTGAAAAACTAGGGACTTAATTATCTTATAAAATGATACTGTATGACTAATAAAAAACATACCTATAGTTTAGGCTGACCTGGAGACGCTATAATTTGTGGGAGATGAATATACTTTTTCAGTCAAACATTTGAGAAGTAGACAAATATAACAAAAGACAGAACTAGCTTATCCTAGTGAGGTACTGATAAATGTTTAGTATTCATGATAATAAAATTAACTATAATTTATGAAGATCTATCACATGCAGTCCCTCTGCTGGTAGCCTGGGTGAGGGGGTTGTCTTTCATATTCTTCTATGATTTTCATTAGCCTAATAATCACGCAAATGAAAATAGTCCAAGTAAAAGCTTGTCTTTGCTATATAATTAAAGACTTCAATGCAAATCCCTTATCTGCCTCTTCCATAGTATTGCTGCCAATAAATATTATGTATGCGTGTTGGAGTCACCATCAGCCATATTGCATGGCACTTTATTAGACTATTCACATATATTATCTCTAATTTTAATAATCTCCCTGTATCCCGCATTTACAGAGGGAGAAAAGAAGCAGCTTAGTCATAATATACAAAATATAAATTCATTAGGAAATAGTTACTGATGATTTAATTAAATCGACGCATCACATTAGAATCCACTTTTGAAGAAATACTAGTCTTGTTTTTTTGGGTTGTTATCTTTCCATGAAAACAAACAACCACAGACCAGTGTGGCTCAGGGGTCGAGCATCAACCTATGAACCAGGAGGTCACTGTTCAATTCCCGGCTGTATTACAGAAATGAAATACAAAGCCATGAAGGCTTTGATGATCAGCTATGCAATTGTCTGCAAAGCACTGTACTAGTCTTTAAGGCTTTTCTCATAACTCTGTGGAGAGTTATGAAACACTCTCCTGGGGCCTGTGGACTAAGGGACCAACACAGAAACCAAGGCTGTCTTTCAAGCCTCCTGCTCCCACACTCACCAAATCCAGTAAATCAAGTTCTGACAATTCTGCCTCTGAAATATTTCAACCCCGTATATTTCTCTTCAATGTCTACTACAGCGGCTCTGATTTATTCCACCACCACCACCTCTCTCCTGGACCTGTGTCAATGTTCCTACATGGCTTTTCCTCATCTCTTCATGGGACACTGCTTGAATATATGAGAATATTTTGGAACTGAGACTTCATACGGTTTGGAAAGGAATAGTTGCTGTATATGGTATCAGAAGTTGATGTATAAACTTCATTTGATTTAGTCACTTTCTTCTAGTGAGGAATCTAATAACATTATTTTGTTTTATAAGCCCATAATTGCTTTTCTTCTGTGTCTCTATGCCATGGAGGTGTTCTTTGCCCTCTCTGTGTCTTTTAACTTTTAGAGGTAGTTTTGTCCTTTTCTAGCCCCAGAACTCTGCAGACCTAGAATACTATATGTAAAGGACATAGAAAAAATAAGCAAACACACAACCAAACAAGTCCTCCTCCACCCACTTGGCATAACATACTTGAAAGGGATAGCTAGTTCAGTATAAAACCATCTGAAGTCAATTCCCTGTTCTGCCATCACCACAACATAGCCCTGGAGAAGTTTCTTAACATTACTGAACTATACTTGCCTTATTGGTAAAACAGGGACCACACTAATTCCTTTGTTTATAATAATACAAAGCATATGGTCCCTAGTAGATTCTTAATATTACATTAAGTGGAGCTATTGAGATTCCTTGGAATAAAATTAATGAGTTAAGTATGTCATCCAGGAGTAGATGTTCTCTTGATATTTAAAATGTTATGTTCTTGAGTGCCTGATAAACTTCAGAATGTGCATGGACAATTATCTGGCATAAATTAGTGTATTTATTAAACCCACTTCTTCAATAAATTAAAGCACAACTTAAATATTACATTTTGTTCGTGCACCAAATTAGTGAGTGCTTACTCTACCCAAGGCACCGTGAAGAATCAGAACTTTCCAAAAACATACAGTCCAGAGGAGATACCACAAATATATACAAAAATCACAACCCAGAAAATATGTGCAGTGCCTTGAGTGATGCTGTGTGACAGAGGTTCTGAATTTATAGTAAAAACAAACTCTCATTTTTCTAGGGCAGTGGTTTGTAATCCTATCAGATGCTGTGTTCCTCCCTTTATAATAAACTAGAGGCCCGGTGCATGAAATTTGTGCACAGGTAGGGTCCCTAGACCTGGCTAGTGATCAGAGCTGTTTCAGGGCCTTCCTGCTGCCAGTCAGAGCCTTCTTTCATTTTTCACCACCTCCTGGTGGTCAGTGCATATCATAATGAGTGATCGAACTCCCAGTCTCCTGGTCGAACTCCTGAGGGGACAATTTGCATATTAGCCTTTTATATATATGATTTTCCAAGGTCCTCTTTACTATTTTGAAATGTTATAATGTGTAACATTCTACACACATGATTTATTTTCTCTTCTTTTCTTCCCTTCTTTACCCCTTTCCCCTTAAACATCAGTTATATGAACTAACTGATCAGAGTCCTTGATCATTGACACATTCTCCATTATTGATCCATGCAAGGTCCTCTTATAGTCTTCTGTTCGTTTGTTTCTGCTAGTTATTTTTAATGTAATAATTTCCAGTGACACTACTTCCCAACATAAAAGGTAGGACCTTTACCCTAACATGCCTGTGACTCTACAGATACCACTGCCTCCCAAACCATCCTCTTGTCTCCCTTATCCTAGATAACCATCATCCTGAATACCATGCTTGCCATTGTCTTGCTTTCCTTTTATATATAGTTTCATTATTGCATCTATATGAGTTTCTTGAACATATCTTAATTTTAGTTGTTTTAGCCTCATGAAAAGGATTCATATAGCATATACTCTTTTTATTTAATGTTACAATCTAAGACTCATCTATATTGCATGTTTTAGTGTGATTCACCTCTTTCTACTACTCTACTATCGTGTGAATATTCCATAGATTACTGATATTATCTGTTGAAGGGCATTTGGGTTGTTTATAATTACTGTTTTTTATTTATTTTTTATTTATTTTTTACAGAGAGGAAGAGAGAGGGATAGAGAGTTAGAAACATCGATGAGAGAGAATCATCAATCAGCTGTCTCTTGCACACCCCCTCCTGGGGATGTGCCCGCAACCAAGGTACATGCCCTTGCCCAGAATTGAACCTGGGACCTTTCAGTCCACAGGCCGATGCTCTAAACACTGAGCCAAACCTGTTTCGGCCATAATTACTGTTTTAAACAGTGTTGCAGTTGTCCTGGCTGGTGAGGCTCAGTTTTTTTAGAGTGTTTCCTACACCAAAAGGTTGCAGGTTTGATCCCTGGTCTGGGCATGTGCAGAAAGCAAGCTGATCAATTTTTCACTCTCATATCAATATTTCTCTCTCTCTTCCTCTCTCTAAACCGTAGGAAAAAAATGTGCAGTAGACATTTTTGTACATGCTTCTTGGAGTACATTTCTACCTAGAAGTGGAATTGTTGTGTCATTAGAGTACTTGAATGTTTAACTTCAGTACATAAAACCAAACTGTTTTCCACAATAGTTGTTCAGACATATATTTCCATCAGCGTATATAAGAAATTCTATAAATCCACACTATCTCTTTGTATTTTCAGAATTCATGTTTATTGGCCATATACACTGAGTGGCCAAATGATTATGATCTCTGAATGCATAATCATCTGGCCACTCAGTGAATATTCTATATAATAAAAGGCTAATATGCAAATTGTCCCCTCAACCAAGAGTTCAACCAGTAGGCAGGCTGTCCAATTGCCCATGTCTCCTCCCTCTGGCCAGGTTGGCCAGACCCCACCCATGCACGAATTCATGCACCAGGCCTCTAATACACACACAAACACACACACACACACACACACACACACACACACACATATACTGAGTGGCCAGATTATTATGCGTTCAGAGATCATAATAATCTGGACACTCAGTGTATATGTGCTAGGTCATGACAATACCAGAAAAACATACCCACAAATATTGAGAAGGCCCTCGTAGAGTATTGCAGCCACCATTGT